GTGTTATTGTTATATTCTGGGGATTTGTTTGTATTTTGGATCAGAACAAGCGCAGAGCTCCGGTAATATGATTCACTTTGTATGAATATTTGATACAATTTATATCACAAAGTTATACAAATAAATCTAACTGGTTACACTGGGAAGAGATGTGATTGGTTGACGATTGCTGGTGGTGGAATTACAGTCAGGATACTCCTGGACGGAGGATGATGGTGGTTGTAGTTACACCGGTGTCAGGATCTCGCTATGTGCCGGTCTCCTGTATCGTCCTGTGACTGTGCGGGATTTCTGAGAGATTCCATCACCTCCCGGACACATTCCTCACCTGCCTGTCACTGGCCGGGGCGCCTCTCCCGCACGGGGCCATCTCACGGCGGACCCTCATTTAAAGGGACAGTAACCCGTACACGTTTCTTGGGTTTGTGGTAGACCGTAAATGATGTGATAACATCTAGTTCTATGTTGCAGAATAGATGTGAATGATTGGTTGGTTTAGACACTCGCTGCGGCCATGTTAGGTTCTCCCTTCATTCTACTCCCATCATCCTCTCCCCTAATCAGAGGTTTAAAGTTTGATCAGTAAAATCTCATAGAAGCTTCAATATGTTGATGTCATTTGAAGTCATTTGCAATATTTTCAATCCTGCAGCTGCAATAAAATAATCCCTGGTGATGCTGCCATTGAGGTCCTTGCATAGCCACTTCCTGTTAGAGGGTGACCACGCTCTGTCCCTATCTCCCAGTTGTTTTCTTGCGTTGTCACACAGGCTTCCTGATGGAGACTACAAATGGCTGTTTTCACAGGCATCGTCTACTGTTGTCACCATCAGCAGCCATCGCTGGAGTGCATGTAGATAGCAAGTGGCTGCAGGAGATCTGCAGCACTGGGATGGATCAAAGGATGCGCTCAGTGCATGGAGCAAAGTGCGTGTCATATATTTGGTGTATACATCCGCAGTTCTTGTGTCGGAAGGTGTCGCCGTTTATACGCCAATGACTGAAATACCAACCGCGATTCTTTATTTGCAGCCCGAGCTGTAGATGGCGGTGAGACGCGTTCCTGTAATGGCCGCCATGTTTTTGTGTCGCCGCGGCCCATTGATTTGTGTTTTCTTTGTGTTTTTTCCAGGCTCACCTTGTGGCCGCCTTTGAACAGAGCCTGAGCAACATGACCATCCGGCTGCAGAGCCTCACCATGTCCGCAGAGCAGAAAGTAAGTGCGAGGTCGTCTTTGCCGGAAGGAAAAAAGAAACTTCTGTGTGCTTGAGAAAGAAAAATAAAACAATAGCGTCCGACTCGGCTGTTCACACCGGGAGGAAGTGCAACAGATTCTCACCTGCTTCTGTACTGCTGATTCCTGAAAGATAAATGGTAGGATCTACCTGGACTATGATCAGTCCCAGGAGTGTCACAAAACACGCTGGACCCCC